CTGATGGAGAGAGTCCTCATCGAGGGACTTCCCTATGCCATTGAAATCCCAGGTCTGGTCTCTATCCCCCAAAGGCTGAATTTGAACCCAGCAATCTTTACAGGCCCTAAAATGCTGCCATTACATCCACAGTGATTGCTCCCTTCTCAGAACTCTCAGGGGTACTTGCCCTGTGGCCCATCCATTTGGCACTCATCAAAGCATCGTCTGATTAGTCAAACGTTCATGTAAATGGCCCATCTCCACACTGAGACTGGTATCCAAGGATCATGGGATCATGAACCTAGAGCCAGAAAGGGCTTTAGAAGCCACCTATTCCCACCCACCCATCCCCTCATTTTATGGAGAAATTAAGTGACTTCCCCAAGGGAACTAGGAGCAGGGAGTTCCTGGAGGTGATTCTCTGTACTATCCCATGGAACCTCCTTATTGACTTGACTGTTGGCCTAAAGAAAGAAAATGGCGGATGCAATTCAGAAGCCAATGCTTAAGGAAACAGCACCTGAATAAATGGAAAAGAGGGGCAGCATCAACATGGAATCTACCATGTGAACTTTTCCGAGACAAGACAGAGACCTAGATATGGAAATGGATCCTAAGGATGACATATAAATTCATGAAGGATTCTCTTTTTTCCCCCTTCCCACCTCAATTAGATTATAAGCTCCCTGAGGACAGGGACTATCTTTTGCCTCTTTGTGTATCCCCAGTGCTTAGTACAGTGCCTGGTACACAGTAGGCACTTAATGAATGTTTATGGATTGGTTTTCAATTCAAAAAAAATTATTTATTAAGGGCCTACTATGTGTTCAGCATTGTGCTAGGCACTAGGAAATATTCAAAGTGTTTGTTGTGGTTTAGTCATTTTCAGTGGTGCCTGACTCTTCGTGACCCCATTTGGGGTTTTCTTGGCAAAGATACTGGAGTAGTTTACCATTTCCTTCTCCAGCTCATTTTACAGATGAGGAAACTGAGGCAAACAGTGTTCAATGACTTGCCCAGAGTCACGTAGTTAGTGTCTGAGGCTGGATTTGAACTTAGGGCTTCCTGACTCCAAGCAGGGCACTCTCTCCACTGAGCTACCTAGCTGCCCTGACTGGATTAGACGGAGGATAAGCTTATTCCTCAGCAGATTGGCCAAACCCAGAGAATCCTTGGGATTCCAGGGTGTTCCACAGACTTCCATAGCTTTCAAGACCCAAGACAAGTATATTGAGAGACTGTAATTCTCGAAAATAATAGAGGCATATAAAGGTGGAGGGCCAGAGAGGAAGTAACTTTAAGAACGGAATATTTAAAGTGAGACGAGTAGGGAAGCTGAACAAATTATGATATACAAGTATAATGGAATGTTATTGTGCTGTCAGAAACAAAGAACATGAGGAATTCAGTGAAATACTGGAGGTACTGTATGAACTGATGCAGAGCAAAGGAAGCTGAGTCAAGAGAACAGACAATATATACGATGACTATAACATTGGAGATGAAAACCATGCTACAAGGCAAACTGAACCCAGATTAAATGCATTGGCCAATATTAGTTCTAGGGGCAGCCAAGGTGGGCAAGTGGATTAGAGTGCTAGGCCTGGAGTCAGGAAGACTCATCTTCCTGAGTTCAAATCCAGCCTCAGACACTTACTAGCTGTGTGAACCTGGGCAAGTGACCCTGCTTGCCTCAGTTTCTTCATCTGTAAAATGAGCTGGAGAAGGAAATGGCAAACCACTCCAGTATCTTAGGATATGACTGAACAACAACAAGAACATTAGTTCTGGAAGACAAATGATGAAACCAGTTTCCTTCTACTCAGTTGCTGGAGTTTCGAATGGAAAAACAATGAATACTAATTGTTGCTATGGTTAATTAGTTTTTTCTTTGTTACAAGGATGTGTACGACACAGGCAGGGGAAATGTGGGGAATATCTAATAGGAAATGACTAAAGAAAAATAAATATCAGTAAGGCTTCAAATTTAAAAAAAAAATTAAAATTAGAAAACTACGTATAGACCAAATTTAGCCCAAGGTCATAGAAGAATGTCTAGGTTTGGTCCATGAGGGAGCTGGTCTCTAGGATATATCTCTAGGGCCTGGAGACATGTGGAGACTGAGAACTTGGCTCAGTATAGAGCTAAATCAGGATAATTTAGTAAGTGATCCAACCATCCAAAATACACTGGCTAGACTTTCATGCGTACTTTTGATGACTTTTTAACACTGTGGATACTACTATAGTTACTCTTTCCTCTCATGAATAAACTATGAGTTCAGAGAGAAGGATTCTAGGTGAATTTGAGTAGTCTGGGAAGGCTCCATGAAAAGGGGTGGGGAGCAGAAAGAGGAGACCAGTCTCTGGACAATGAAAGAAGGATAACATCTGGCAGCAGAGAGGAGGGGCTTTCAGGAGAGGGGAGTTAAGAGCAGGCTTATCAATGCAGGAATGTAGAAGGCATGTGCTGGGGCTGTAAAGAGCTCAATTTGTATAACAAAGCTCAGGAAGAATGACTTGGGATGATTATTGTAAAGGGTCTTAAAGAACATTAAATAACATTCATTGCTGGCTTAAAAATAAAAGAATTTGTTGTCAAATAGGGTTTGTGAACAAGGAGAATGGCAAGAGTACAATATCATACAAGGTGGCACAGATGTGTCAGTATCAGCCCAAGCAAATCAATGGTTATTTATTAAGCACCTACTATGTGCCAGGAACAGTGCTAAATGCAAGGGGAGTGGGGGAAGGGGGAGAAGGGACAAAAACAGGTCCTGCCCTCAAGAAGCTCACATTCTAACGCAGAAGACAACATGCAAACAACTATGTACAAATGAAAGACAAAATAAACTGGGGATAGTCTTTGAAGGAAAGCGTTGGCATTAAAGAGAATCTGGAAAGACTTCTTGCAGAAGGTGAGATTTTTAACTGAGACTTGAAGAAGGCCATGAAGTCAGGAAAAAGATAAAAAGGGAGAGAATTCTAAGCATGGGGGACAGCCAGTAGCAATGCCACAAGTATAGGGATGGAATGTCTTATGGGAGGGATAGCGAGGAGGCCAAAGGCACTGAATCAAAAAATACATGAAGGTGAGTAAGGTGTAAGAAGACTGGAAAGAAGGGTAGGAAGGGACCAAGTTATAAAAGGTTTAAAAGCCAGAAGATTTTATTTTTGACCTGGGAGGTAATAGGAGCCATTGGAGCTTTTACTGAATGAAGAGATAAGGAGGGTGGAGGAAGGGCTGAGACTTGGTGAGAGCTGAGCTTTAGGAAAGTCAATAGTGTTGTTTCAGAGAGGAAGGTTGCTACAGTAGAAAGTACACTGACGTCGGAGTCAGAAGACCTAGGTTCAAATCCCACTTCTGACCCTACCTGTGAGACCTTGGGCAAACCACAGCCTCCTTGGGTACAATCGCTAAAATGAGGTGGCTGATCTACTCTAGACAATCTTTAAGGTCCATTAAAGCCCCAAATCGATGATCCCATGACCAACAAGCACATTGTCTTCCCTTGGATCCTATCAGTGTTCAGCTGATTTTTGGTAAATGAGTGATTTTTTTCAAAATCCAGAAACAAGCAGTCCCATTTTGTTCCACGATTCCAAATTCCTTGATTCTGCTGGTGGACCAGGTGGAGAGGAGGCCTGGTATCTCCCACCCAGAACAAGAGAGCCTCCCTGATAAGCCCAAGAAAGTCTGGTGTGCTTCACCAGACATAAGATATCCCTACTAAGTGGAAAGGATGGGACATGGCAGAGCTCGAGATTAGCCTTGGATGAGTGGCTGGCTGTTTGTGGAAAGGAACTGTCTGGTGGTATGATATGAGAGGGAGCCAATGATGCCTGAAATTCCACCGTTGGAGATTCGCTCTTTTGGGTTAATGTAGTCCTTCCCAGCTTAGCCCTGCAGTCAATTCCCCCATCTCCTAGACCTAGCAGCTTCCAAACGTCTCAGCCAATCCCTCACTCAGTTTTAAGGGATGACTCCGCCTTTCCTTGCCCTCCAGATCTGACCTCGATAAATTTTAGGGATCCTGTTGCAAGAGCCTGACCTAGAACCTAAGCTAACTCCTCCTCCCGTCCGCGAGGAAAAGGGTACACACCAAATGAAAACTTTTCGCAAATACAGTTGGAGGGTGGGGAAGGATCACAGGGATGCGGCAAAAGTCTCTCCCGGCCGCCCCTAGCAGGGATGCGTTGGGCTCTCCTTCCTCCCTCCCTCAGGCCTCCTCTTGTCCCTTCTTGAAGGGCAATCCACAAAGTCATGTTCCTCACAAAGGCAACGCTCTCCCCTGAGGGCCCCTCGAGGCTGGCGGGCCTGGCCTCCCCAAGCAGAGGTGCCCGTGGAAGAGTAACCTGCCCTGTCCACTTGCGGCAGCCTTCTAGGTAGGGGCATGCCCATTCCCATCCCCAGTTCAGGGCGCGCAGAGACGTGGGCTGCCCATCCACTCTTCCTTTCCCCTGCCTTCGGAGTGGGAAAAAAAGAGTGACCTTTCCAAAGTCACCGGAGAAGGGAGCTGTGTCCCCAAGAATGGGGGGGGGTCCTTTTGACTTGCAGGCGCCAGGGCTCGGAGGTCGCCCGGCCGATCCGGTCTCCGGCCGCGGGACCTCCAAGCTTTGTCCCTTCCTTCCCTCTCCCGCCTCGGGTCCCCCACGTTCGGGCAGCCAGAGAAGGAGCCGGGCAAGAGGGGCTCTCATCCAGACCCGGGAAAAGAGCCGCGCCACCAGGCCGGCTAATGGGCAGCAGCAGCGGGGACGGCGGCAAACTTAGGCTCACCCCCCACCTCCGGGTGACGGCAGGAGCCGACCTGAGCCGGGCGCGGGAGGCTGCCGGAGCTGGGGGCCTACGGAGTTGGGGGGGCGTAGTCCGGGAGAGTGAAATTTACCTGGGTCACGTGGCCATTGACAATCTCTTGCAACGCTTGGCAGCTCCGGTCCCAGCAGAGCTCGCTTCTCTGGGTTCTCTCGGCGTCGTGGCGTCACAATGGGTCGCGTCGGAAAGCCCGCCCCTCCTCCTGTTCATCAAGGCATGGGCGGGAAGGGGGCGATCTCCAGGGCAGGATGGACGAGGCGGTGGGGCTCATAGCAAGGAAAGGGATCCATCCCCAGGTGTGGCGCACAACAGCCTCTGCATCCCTCCGAGCCATGTGGGTCTCACCTCCCAACCAGTCTTAGAAGAGGCAGGAGGTGAGTGGTTCCACTCACTTCAAATCCCTTTTAGTCTCTCCCCAGGACCTAGCAAGATTATCCCCCTACCACCTTGGCAGCTTGACCTGTGGTCTCCTGGCCCTGCTGTTGGATGTGTGCTTGAGGGTCCATAGTACAAGATGACCCACTGAGGCTGCCAGGTGACTCTAGGTGCGCCTAAGGACGTCTTTACGAGGCCCCATTGGCAACTTTCAATCACTGAAAGCTCCTACATAGATGGGAAACTTTGAGGGTAGGCCCAGTTAACAGACTATGTGCTCAGAGGACCAGCCTAAGGAAAGTGCTAATTGCATCCCCTCTTGTATCTTGGCTTCAAAGGGTTTCTATGGTCAAAAAGAAAAAAAAAAATCATTACCTAGCGATCAAATTTGTGGTGACGAGTTTTCTACCATGGTCCTCAAAGGACATAATCTATTGTATTGTTTTGAAAGTAGAAGAAGGGAGGGGTGAAATGGAGGAGCCTCTTTGCTCATCAGTAAAAATGGAGGAAGGAGCAAAGTAGATAACCTTTTCCATCCTTCACCTCTCTATCTCTAATCTCATGATCCTTAAAATAAAAGTGCACACACACACTCTTGCTGTCCCAGAAATTAGCTCTGACTATTCACTGGAAGGACAAATACTGAAGCTGAAGCTTAAGTACTTTGGCCATATAATGAGAAGACAGGACCCACTGGAAAAGACTCTGATGGTGGAAAAGATTGAAGGCGAAAGGAGAAGGGGACAACAAAGAATAAGATGAGTAGATAGTGTCATGGAAACAATGAACATGAACTTGTCAGACTTCAAGAGATAGTGGAGGATAGAAGGACCTAGTGTACTGTGGTCCAGAGGGTCACTAAGAGTCAGGCATGAATGAATGACTGAATAATAACAACGAAAAGCCTACATAGCTCAATAGATTGATAGATAAAATATTATTAGGTTATTATTATATTTACTATATTATTATATACCTATTAGATTGTAAACTCAAGGCTTTCAGGAAAAAATTAAGTGTATAATACAATACATTCCTGACATAGGTGTGCACAGAAAAAGGTTGTTCTTTTTTTAAAGCATATCTCCTTTACTAGGTTTATCTTCCCTCATACCCAATAAGGAGGCATAAAGCAGGTCAGAAATAGGCTTTGTTGTTGTTATTCAGTTGTGTTTCAGCTGTGTCTGACTCTTCGTGACCCCATTTGTGGTTTTCTTGGCAAAGATACCGGAGGGGTTTGCCATTTCCTTCTCCAGCTCATTTTACAGATGAGGCAACTGAGGCAAACAGGGATAAATGACTTGTCCCAGGATCACACAGCTAGTAAGTGTCTGACGCCAGATTTGAGCTCAGGAAAGTGAATCTTCCTGACTCCAAGACCAGCCCTCTAACCACTGTACCACCCAGCTGCCCAGAAACAGGCTGGATAGCATTAAAAAGTCGACTCAGGTTTAAAATTTTGACATGGGAATTTCAGAAAAGTGAATGAACTACCCATGGGAAGTGGAGAGTTGACTGGTTCTGCTCAGATGAAGGTGTTAAATGGTGGGGGTTGGGGGGGGGAGATGAGAGAAAAGTGAAATCAATGATTTGACTTATTCTCTGAGATGGAAAAAAATCCTTTGTTATACTTGCTAGTGGCAAATGAAGTCATTCACAAATTTGCCATCGACTCTTGCTCTTTCCTTCATATGCTTGTTCCAGAATCAGTTTGCTCTGATTCAGTTTTATTTATTTGCAGAAATCACATTGCAGCACCCACTCAGAGAACAGCACAGGGATTCTCCAAGCATTTGGAAGAATATGGGAAATGTGGGAAGCTAAAGCCTCAGTGCCATTCCTGGTAATCTGCAGTGTCCCTACAGAGCTTTGAATCTCAGCTATGGCACTTCTTGGCTATGTGACCCTAGGGCAAATCACCTAACCTGTCGAGTCTGTTCCTCACCTATAAATGCATAGCACCAGGACCTATGATTTCACTGATAATGGATGGGGAATGCTACTCCAGTGAAAGTCAGCACCTTTTCTGCAGCTTATCATAGAGAGTTGTGGGACATTGAGAAGTTAACTTATCCAGCCAGGGTCACTCAGCCAGCATGTCTCACAGGTGAGACTTGAACTCAGCCACATCTAACTAGCTCCTAGGTCAGTGCTCCATCCATTATGCCACATTGCCTCTCTTATGACTCCCTCATCTATAGAATGGGAAGTATTAATGTATGCTCCACCTATCAGACAGGCAAGTGATTTAAATAAACTGTTATCAATTCTTTTCATCCAAGAAACCTGAACATTAAGATTGTTCATTACACATTGCAAACTTGACTCCCATGTTATTTATGAGTATAAGCAACTGGAATCATACACTTTGGTAAATTCCAACACTGAGAGAGAAGATTGCCCTCTCTCAGCCTGCAGCCTCCGGTAAGCAAATGGGTCTTAAATGGATTTATCATCAAAGCCATTCCCCTTGGGAGAGAGTGTAAGAATCATTTAGATGACTCAAAAGAGGATAAAGCAAGAATGAATCAGTAACAACTAGAAACATTTTCAAGAATGGTTCCTGTCTGGGAGTTTGGGGAAATTACTGAATAAAGCTGAAGGTTTAAAAGACAGATTCCCAGAAGTAGCTAACAAATCATAATTCCTCCAGCTCTGGTCCTTGTCACATTTGGTCAAGATCATCATTATGGGCGACTCTTGGTATGGAAACTCTCCACAGATACAGATCAGTAATTCATTTGTAACATACACACTTAGAAAATTACTTGAGGCACTCAGATATTATGACTTGCCCATGTTCATACACCTTTTAGTGCCAGAATTTGAACTCAGGTCTTCCTGACTGCTGAGTCTAACTATTCTGCCATACTGTCTCTTATTTCCAAACCTGACGATGTTAAAGCAAATATGGCCTCAAGTGTCAGTCCAGTGAAGCGATAGAGTTACAATTTAGATTTTTCAGCATTTATTTGACAAAGAAAAGAAACCTAACCTTGTGAATAGGTCAACCTTGAAAAATAGAATTCTTAGTTCAAGTCCTCCCTTTAAAATATGGTTACTGCTAGCTGTGAGACCCTGGAAAAGTCACGTAACCTCTTAATGCACCAGATAACTCTCTAAGACTATAAGTTATTATTGAGTTGCTGTGTCCATCAGCAGAGGGAGTTTGGAAAATGAGAGTTTCTTATGCAGATGAAAATCACAGATCCAAATTTTTTCAGAAGTTCTCTAAAGCCTAATTTCATTTAGACCTATCTCCATTCTTTCAGGCAAAGCCATAACTAGGAAATAGTGACCAGAGTTTTGTCCCTAGGGCATTACATTTAGAAGGGATGTTAGCTCTTGTCCTTCAACAGGTAGAAACTACAGAGCTTAGCCCTAGAAGATTGCATGGCCTAAATTCAGATGTTTAACTAGCTCAGGGCTCTAAGTGCAAATGAGGACCTGAAGAAATCTGATATTGTTATCTCAACGTTGCACTACCCATTGTCCTGGTAGTAATGAGAAGGCTAGAGAGGACAAGAAGGGCAGAAATCATCAATTGGACCATATGATTTAGAAAATTTAATAAAAATCAAGAATCAAAAATTCTCTGGGAAACCGCCTGGCTAGATTTCAATGGTTTAAAAAAAAAAGATTCCATTTTCCCACAAATGTTCTTAATAATGGAGAAGAGAGAGAGAAAAGCCCAGGAAACAAAATAAATAGATCAACTGCTGTTGGCTCCTGCAGGGAATGAGATCGTGCTTTCTAAATTTAATGCATTGGGTTAATTTTGCTGATTAAAACAGAACATTTGGGACAATTAAAAGTTTAGATTATTTCATTTCTCTCATATAAGAATGTCATCATAGTCTTTAACTAACAGTTAAAGTGTAGCGTGGGGGAAAGAGCCCTGGCCTTGAAATCAGAAAGCCTTATTTGGAGCCACGTATCATTTGACCCTTGTGGGCCCTCAGTTTTCTTACTTATAAAAATAGGCATAATAATATTTGAGCCATCTACCTCATAGGCTTCTTGAGAGGAAAGTGCTATACAACGTTTGTTACATTTGTCCTGGAGAAGACTGTAGGTAGCTAGATGGCACAGTAGATAGAGCACTGGGTGTGGAGTCAGGAATCCAGCCTTAGACACTTATTAGCTGAATGACCCTGGCAAGACATTTAACCTATCTCTTCCTAGAGTCTCCTCAATTTTAAGGTGGGCATAATAATAGCACCTACCCTACCTCCCAGAGTTGTTATGAACCTCAAATGAGATAATAGTTATATAAAGTGCTTAGCACAGTACCTGGCCCATAGTACACACAATAAATACATGTTTGTTTCCTTGCTTGTGGGAGGTGACACCTGTTTTCAAATATTCAAAGAGTTGTCATATAGAAGAGAAATTGCACATATTCTGATTTGTCTAAAAGGGGAGACATAGGGGCAGATGACTAGAAGTTCCTGGGAGAAGGATTTTGACTTAATGTAAGGAAATTTCCTACTGATAGCTGTCCAAAAGTGTAAAAGGCTACCTTGTGAAGTGGTGAATTCCCTCTAACTTTATTTGAGCAGAGGCTGAATAAAACTCATTTGCTGGGAATGTTGTAGACAGGAATCATGCTTAGGGTCTAGAAATCAGACTAGATCACCTCTGAGGATCTTTCCAATATGAAGATGCTATGAACCTAATTCCTATCAATGACTTTAATTAAGGCATAGAAGAAGAAGGCATACTTATCAAGCTTACTGATGACACAAAGATGGGAGGGAGAGGTGAAACATTAAATGAAAGACTCAGAAACCAAAAGGTTTTGGATATGATAGAGTGATGAGGTGAACCTAGTAAGATGAAATTTAATAGAGATAAACAGAAAGTCCCACACTTGGGCTCAAAAATCAACTTCATCAGTTTAAGAAGTGTGTCTATGTGGCGGTGGAGGGGGTGGACAACAATTTATGTGAAAAAGATATGGGTATTTTAGTAAACTAACAGCTCAGTTTAAGGCATT